GAGATGATATTGAAGTTCCTGGGAGGTAACAATTGAAGATGCTATGAAATCTTCATATTGTCCTACCGAACGGTTTATGATACAGTCTGCTAGCAATATAAACTAGATCTACAACTCGTGAAATTGCATCAAAGAGAATTGCCTTCGCAAAACTAATATGAGAAAGCAAGCAGCCGAACGTGTCTGCTAAGAAAACAAAAACGATTGATAGCATATACGACGGTTCAATAGTATATATGACGCAAAACCACATATAGGATGAGCTCATAGTTAGCTGTCGAGCGGGAAAAACCACTGTAATTCGTACGAAGTTCTTCCGTGCTGAGAGGAAATTGAGGGCATTTGAAGCAAAATTGTAAAATTAGCAACATCTTAAATTCCGAATCATATATTTTTAGCTTGTTATTCTAGTTCACATAAAGCGACCACCTTTTGTCCATGTTCTATATACCTCATTGTGTCCCTTACGCTTCTTAGAAGAAGTGCGTTGCTTCACACTATGTTTGCCTGTAATTAATTGTTTTATGTTTTTTGGTTGTCGGCAATCCACTGGTGTATATGTGAAAAAATAGATAATTAACTGTGTATCATTAGCCTCCCTTTTGATTTCAGTTTCGATGCTCGCGAAAAGTGGCCAGAGTGTCGTTCTATCGCATACATTCGCGACCAATCCAATTGCGGTATGTCTGAATTTGTTGTAATGTTTGCGATTCGACTCACGCAGCACCTCTACTCAATAAAGCAGGCATTTGTAGTTGTACGGGTGGTCTTATTAGATTGCAACTGAAAAATAATTTTAGGAGCCTGCTGGGCTGTATCAACGGCAGCAGCCATGTCAGATCGAGCTTGCATACAGTCAAATGGTAAACTGCAGGTTTGTAAAATTCTAAAAATCGGCAAAAGTTTTCACTTAATCAAATAATTGTTTAGCCGATTCTCTCTGGATCAAATGTGCTTTCATGTTGTGGAATAGTTTGTGGAAAAGGGTAGGTCTTGAATTAAAACAGTTAATCTATAAATTGAAGTATTTGTATCAAACTTTAGATGCAAAGGAGGATTCCCAAAAGCAGCGATACGTTATATGGCTCGTAAAGGAATTTGCACTGGAGGACGATACGGAGAAAAGGTCAAACATCATTTATTTGCAGTATTTTTTTTCACAACTCAATAGCTCCTTGCACTGTTGCTTCTACATAGCAAATGAAGGCACACTTTCGCGCAATAAATCTCATTTATTGGGCAACAAGGCAGTTGAGTCTTATTATCATGCAGGCTGTGTATATGCAAGTGGCATATAAGGCAGCGACTGCCTCGTTGACGT